CCACGTAGAGAGCGTTGCAGTAGTCTATAACTAAAAACACATCCCAATTAGAAGTCTCTATGTTTAAACATTAAAAGCCTGCTTGAACAACAACAACAATTTGTTCCCCACCTCTCCTCACACCTCAAGGTGGAGTATAACATGCTTAAAATATCCAGATAAAATATAATACTATTAAAATGCACAGTTTCAATTGACTGGGTAGGACTGCTATAACAGATAAGTGTTCAATTGTGTCTTGAAATCTGACAGCTCATTTGGTGTCTTGGAGTGGCTAATGAAAACGTCTTCTGCTTGACGGTTGCCAGTCAGGTTCTGACTGGTTGGAGTAAGCATCACCCAGAGGACCCAAGTGCCCTGGGGTGGATTGTGCGGGAGAAAGCGATTCTGTAGATAACCTGAGCCCAAACCATGTAGGTCTTTAATGGTTATAACCAACACTTTGCCTGGAAACTAATTGGCAACCAGCGGAGTGAGTTTAATATAGGTGTAATAAGCTCACTTCTGTCAGCAAAAGGAAAACAGGGCTAGCCTCCCATGGAAGGAATTACAGAGAGTGGGAGCAGCCACTGAGCATGCTCTATTTGGTGTTCTCTCCAAGTGAGCCTGTGTAGATGGTGGGATGAAGAAGGTTAATTTCTGTCAGGCTCTTTCTGAATCTAAGCCATACAGGGCTTTAAATATCATGAACTGCACTTTGAATTCTGCCAGAAACAAATCAGTACCTAGCGAGTTATATATGTATTCTGACTGCAGCTTTTTGGATCTGCTGAAGTTTCCAAACAGTTTCTAAATTACTCCCACAAAGTATGCATTATGGTGGTTCAAACAGGTTGTAACCAAGGCATGTATCACAATAGCCATTTCTAATGTCTCAAGAAACAGTCACAGCTGGTACATTAGTTTTAGCTGTTCTAATGTAATATCTCTGTGCCCTGATCTGCCAATTGACTAACGAGAAGCACCTTTTTGTGTTAATTAAGTTTCAGTTTATTTGCTATCATCAATTACTGACAGCAGACATTGGTTCGGCATTAAGACAGCTTCCTTCAAATCAGAAAAAGAGGGAGGAAATTGGGTGTAATCAATCAATTGGTGTCACCAAATGCCAAAACTCTGGATGACTTCTTCCAGTTTCATGTAGATGTTAACAACATGAGGGACAAAATCAAAAGCAATAATAAATATCTCCAGCACCACAAAGAAGGACTGGAATTGCTACAGGAAGCCCAGAAGGATACCATGGTCTATGGCAGGGGTCCTCAAACTAAGGCCCGGGGGCCAGATACAGCCCTCCAAGGTTATTTACCCAGCCTTCACTCAAGGTCAACCTAAGTCTGAAATGACTTGAAAGCACACAACAACAACAATCCTGCCTCATCAGCCAAAAGCAGGCCCACATTTTCCATTGAAATACTAATAAGTTTATTTTTGTTAACATTGTTCTTCATTTTAATTATTGCATTGTTTTAAAGTGTTTTTGCACTACAAATAAGATATGTGCAGTGTGCATAGGAATTCATTCATAATTTTTTCAAATTATAATCCAGCCCTTCAACAGTTTGAGGGACTGTGACCTAGCCCTCTGTTTAAAATGTTTGAAGACCCCTGCTCTATGGTATTGATAGCTAATGAATGGTTCAGCAGAACCTACAAGAACACACTCCCACTGTCCAGTTCCCAGTGTAGGTCACCTACCAAAGTGATATTCATCCCATAAGCAGTTTTGAAGCTGGATTGACACGGATCTAAATAATTAATCTCATCAAGAAACTTCTAAAACTAGGAAACTACTACAAATTTGAAACCTTGCCCAAAAATAGAATAAATATAAACAAACAATAATTGTTATGCAAAAAAACTTCGTACAAAATCTTGGATTAATACATTATGCAACATTTTTTATGCAAAAGCAATTTTTTAATGAAAAATTATTGCTTGTGTAAAATAATAAAAAATTCAAAATAACATTTACAATCTGAATCAGAATGGGAAAAGCAACTTTAAAATCTTATTTTCTGCATCTGATAACAAATCATGAAAATATCTATGTCCCATCTGACTGCTCTCTTGATCAGAAGGCAACAAACAAGACCATCTGCATGCTTAGAAAGAGTGTGTCTCTACATTATTTATTAGAGTTCTAATGGGTCACTGAAGGTTTCTTTTAAGAAGCGGGAGCATGAAAGATGGGCTGCAAAAGCTAGGCTCTGGTCCTCTCAGTCTGCTTTGATAAAGATGACCTCTGAAACTGCCATAATTAAAAGAAAGTGATCTGTCTGAACAGTAAATCCCGTGGTCTCCAGAAAAATGTAATCCTGTGTACCAAGATTTTAGGACCAAAAAGTTCATAATTACATAAGACATCATATGGCTTCACCTAGCTATATTGTTTAATACTGCTGCTGCATTGAAATTCTTATAAGACCAGAAAATGCTCCAAAGTTCAATCAGGACAAGGTGGTTTTGACTCCTGATGCATGTAGGTTGAGAATGGCATTCCGAGTCTTCACCAGTGGTTGTTGCCTGGATTTACTGTCAGCATCAAACAATGTGAGATTATGCCATCCGGCTGAGGTTTCACTCCAAACTGCAGGAAGAATGATAGGCAGCAGAGGTGGTGCCATTGAGGAGAGCCAAGAAGGCCATGCCAACCCTTCTGCCCACTCATTCATTTTCTAGTGTACAGAAATCCATCAAGACATAGTCATCCATGTCCAAACACAGAAATGAATCTAATTAAACAATTTTCTTCAAGACTGCATTGAGTTCATAATCTGTCTCTTTTTCCAGGACTTTGCTTAAACTGGATGGAAACCAAGCAAGAGGTTTCCAGAGCCATGGGATCTTTCTTTCTTTTTCTCAAAAGTGACTTTTTTTAATCACTGCCTGCCTCAGGTCCTTATATGTTGCATAGTGTGCTGCATGCTGATGCAGTTGATAAAAATATAGAGACCTTTCTGGGCTAGACAATTATAAAAAGAAACAATATGAAGAATATTAAGGATTTTGAAGAGTACTGCTACAGCTTCCTGGAGTTCCACAATTGTTTAATCTTATGCAAGTTGAGTGGATAGGATATGTTCTTTGGCTGGCTTTCTGTAAATGTCATCTCAATTAAGCAAATGGCAGCTACACAAAATGCACAAAATATAAATATTAAGATAATAATAATAATAATAACAACAACAAATTATGAAGAAAACCATCTGCGTGAAACTAAGGGCCAATCTAACATATTTGCTGTCTGAAGCACAGCTAAAATTGTAACCATTCTGTCAGGTATTGAAAAGTTATTGTTCCTCTCTTTATGTCAGTAGTGTCATATTGATAGAACTTTATCAGAAAACACTGGTGAATAGCTTTGAATATGTTACTTTAAATGCAATATCAACTTTAATTTGTTGTGAATCAAATAGATTTTTGTCCCTAATATATACAACCCCCAATTATTTTAATTAAGTGTTGAGGAAAGTCACCATATAGGAGTTAGGATATATAATTGTGATGATTCCTAAATGTATTCCTATATTAACACATGTTCTTTCTATCTATCTATATTTCTTTCCATTTTCTCGTGTTCTAATAATAGCATGCTTTGTACTTCTTTCCCTTTCATGATCTTCCCTCACAATTGTATTGACTGGCTTCTGTTTACAGAATTTGTAAACCAGTTGAATGCTCTGAGCAGCTTAGATGAAGATCAAGATGACTGCATAAAGCACACAAATATGCTTTCAGCTAAATCAGCCAGTTCCTCTGAAGGTCTATGAGCTTTCTTCCTTCATTTCTGTTTCTAATTGTCTGTATTTTATTGTCACCTGTCATCTTCGTGGTTTCTATTTGTGTCCAGTCCTCTTAAGTTCAGATAACAGATGGAATCATAATACAGATATTGTCATCGTCCAGGGATGACCAAAGTGTGATCTTGCAAATATTGCATCCCAACAGCCATTGGGCCCAACTAGTATGACCAGTGCTCAGAAATAGTGAGACTCAAAGGTTTTAATAGCAAAAGAGCAGTGTCTCAGGTTTCCTGTTCTGTCTAGACACTGCATTAGAAAACATTAGTATTAAGGCCCCATCTGCATTGACCATTCAATGCAGTTTGAAGCTAACTTCACACTGTGGCAGCTAGATATTACATTCCCATAAAATGTATGAAAGAAAGCTCTTAATGCAAATCAGCGCTCTATGGTTTTTGCAGTCATCATTCAGGCTTCAAACTGGTTCTAGGATTTTTTATGTAATCGTCTGCACACTTTCTTCAATACCAGTTTGCAAATGGACCAAATTATCAGTGTAGATGAGACACTAGCGACCACCAACTGTATATATACGTACTTGCTGCCTTGATATTACAAAACATTATAGTGCTTGTATGTTACATGTACATGTTTCTTTATAATAAAACTTTCTAACCTTTGAAAGCTTTCATTGCTTTTTTAAATGTTAGGGTTCCCTACAAATCCCTCTTTAAAAAGTCATTGTTGCAATAGAGAGGGAGCTGCTGATAAATAAATGCCTATTAAACAAACATTTACCCAATTCTGTCCATAGTGCTGAGCTAGAAACATTGGTGTTACAGTATGCATCAGCTTAATGTTTCATTATGACTTGACCATTCACTTTTCCCAGCGATACTTCAGTATTTCAAAGAATAAAGTATTTGTTTAAAGTTTAAACTTCATTGGTCCATGTCCTCTTCCAATTGTTTCTAAACTAAAAAGTGTTTTCCTTGACTTCTTAGAACTTATCAACAAGCTTAATTTCCTGGATGAAGAAGATGAAGTCTTGGCTAATTCCCGTTCAAATCCATTTGTAGATCCTGACAGAATGGATCTAAACCCCTTTGAAGACTCTGATATGGAAGGTATAGAATTTATTTATAAATGTTCGTTGTTTCTTATCTTATGGTAACATTGCATATTCTGGTCAGATCATTTTTTGTTGCTGGTTGTTGCTCTCAACGTTCCTTGAGCTTTGCATTTGTTCTCACTTTATAAAATTGGGAATATATTACAGATTCACATTCCTTCTTCTGGTCTCCTTCCCTCTTAACTCACTGTTTCTCAAAAAAGGAATGGGAGCATGCACACTGGATGTGTCTTCCTCAGTGGCTCCTCCTGGCCCCTTTGTATACCTGCGTATCACTTCTCATTTGCTTCATATCACTCTGACCTTTGCTTCATGCTACAGAAAATGGGCCAAGTGTCAAATGCTGGATTGCTTGAACCAGGACACAACAGTGCCAATTCTGCTTCCTGAATTTGTTTATGAAGCCTTCTAATAGCAAGCTCATCTGCTGGCTTTCTTGTGAGATCAGGCAAAATAAATTATTGTTTCTATCATAATGCAGAATATGTTTATCAGATCCTCATACCAGAAATTACTTTCTAGAAAGATAATCCAAAATACTGAGGCCATATTTTAAGCTTTGCTGTCTGTGCTTTTGGAGTATTAACTAAAATTTAATAAATCATTTGAGAATTATTAAGAACCACAAGGAAAAATTGCAAATTTAGAAACAAATTTATAATTTGTGACTAAAATTGCTCTTTATAGAGAGAAGTGAAAAGTAGTCATTTTTGAAAGAAATGAAAGAAAAATACAGGCCATTTAAGATTAATTTCTCTTCCATGTAAATTGCTAAAAAAAAAAACAAAGACAGCGCAGAGCTCTATATTTTGGTTAAAAAGATTAACCTACATTCTGCAAAGGTAAATTCAGCTACATGTATATTTTAACAATGTTAAGTAGTCTGTTTACCTGGTCCTTTAGAAAGCTTTGACAAACTTCTTCATCAAGGACTTCAAAACAATCCTGAAGTCAAGGGAAAAGAGGGCAGGTTGTCTAATGGATTAGTTAAAGAACAAAGAGCAAACAGAGTCAAGAAAAATGGATCATTTTTATAATGGGAGATGGAAGAACTGGAGCCCATGATCAATCTGTGATGGATAGTTTTTATAATGGGAGATGGAAGAACTGGAGGTCATGAAGGGATCTGTGGTGTATTTTTCATTTTTTTCTAGATGTTCTGGAATTGAGGTGAGTGTCAGATAGTTTATGGATGAAATCAATTTCCTCTTGTTGATCAAAATGAAAAGAGTTTGGAAAAGGATCTAAAAGAATTCCTATGCTATGTGAATGAACAACAAAATTTACATTTCATTAGAAATGGGGATAAAAATATTCCATGCTGTCAGTACTGTTTCACCTTGGACTTGTAGAGTTCATGCTTGCACAGCCTTTGATGCCACAGCTATTAATACCAGTACTAATCTCCCCGTGACATTTATGGTCAACCGCAAAAGCAGTACTATGATGAACACTACCTGTTTGTTGTGCCACCATTACAGGGTTTACAACTGTGCTGAGTTTTCTTGTTAAAACCATGGTCATTCACATCATATGTATTGTTCCCTCCCCCTAAGTCCCTGAGGACCTGTTATGGTCCAGTTTCAACCTGGTGTTGGTGTACCCACCAGAATATCCTTGGCACAGGCATCTCCACCTCGCACTGAAGCACTTTTACAGTCGTGACACAAAGACTCAGATAATGACTCCATCTCTTCTTCCATCATAAAATCATAGAATAATAGAGTTGGAAGAGACCACATGGGGCATCTGGTCGAACCCCCCTGCCATGCAGAAAAAGTCTCTCAACCATATATTTCCCTGGATTGTCTCATGCCACACCCTGATACCTCATTCCTGACACATTATTTTAGATCATTCACTGACTAAATGCTCCAACTAGCCCGGGCAATCCAGTACTTCCAGTACCACAACCCACTCTACTATTTTAAAACTCCTATCCTTAAAGAGATCCAGCATCAAGAACCCACTCCTGCAGTTCTTCCTCTTCTTTTGTACCTTCTCCAGGTTCTGAAAGTATCTTCAGTCTTTCCCTCCTTGTGCCCCTCACCTCACATCTTGGAAGATCGAGAATCTCTGCTGTGTAGGTGATTCTTCAGATGAATTGTTGATGAAACATCCCAAACCCAATTCTGTTATCATGGACACAGCACTTTCTTGAATCTCAGATCGGAAAAGGAAGAAACTTGATAATATGGGCCATAGGATCTATTGTTCTGCCTCTTCAAGCAAAAATTTCAAACTACACTGCCTGCATGGGGCATATCAGAAATTTTGTGAGAAAAAATAATCCTCTATGTTGAGTATCTCTCTGATGATGATCAAAAAGTGGTTTCAGTCCTGAAGCAAAAGGTGTGTGGCTGCTTCATGGATGCAGTTCTCGCAGATCTCTCATCCACCATTCCTAGAATCCTGGAAATTGCATATAAGCTATCTATAAGGCATTTGTACATATATAAATGGAAGACTTTCCTTGACTTCCTGAACTGCACCAGTACTGACCCTTAACGGGCCTCAACACCAAGAGTATGGGATTTTCTTGTTTCCCTATCCGAAAGGGGTTTGGTTTTGTCATCTGTCACATCTTACCCCACAACTATTCCATGATTCTTCCATAGGACAGTTAAGCCCTCTTGTTTTTCCATCCCCTTGATTAAGATGTTTCTGTGGGAATACAATAATATCCATCCACTTATGTCATCTCCTGTTCCTGCCTGGAATTTGTCCTATCCCAACTTTTGAAGAGATCCTTGAGCCTGTGGTTTTATGTGTTGTTCAACTTTCGTCATGAAGTGTCATCAGCCAGGCATGCTAGTGAGCTTTGTGCTCTACAAGTGAACAACTCTTACCTGCATTTTCATAGGGATAAGGTGGTCCTTCGCCCAAACATTTAGTTCCTCCCAAAGGATGTTTCAGTGTTTAACATCAATCAGGACTTTGTCTTACATGCTTTCTTCCAAAATCTTACCTCAGACCTGGAGAGAATGCTACATTACTTAGATGTCAGATGGGCCTTAGCATTTTTTGAAGACGGAACTGCCATTTATAAGAGACCACTCAGACTTTTCTTGCAGTACTCTCCAAATGGTCTCAGCTTCCCAAAGACTGTTGAAATGGGTGGCAGCTAAAAAAAGAAATTAATGCCGTAGATTAGAAATAGAGATGAAGACTGACAGGTTAAGACAGGATTAATAAAACTTTTTGTAAGTATTATGCATCACTTTACAAAGCTTCAGTTTGCTGAAGCATTACTTCCCAGTGCTTGATGAACTGATAACTATGGTAGAAGTTGTTGAGGCACTTAAGGTGATGAAATCAGGCAAGACACCAGGTCCAGAGGGGCTGTAGACTCAGTAAGATTTTATAAGATCAATTAAGTGTACATTTACCAAACAAGGAATAAATTACTAGATTGCTGATGACAGGCTAATATAACTTGATTTCCTAAAGAAGAACATGATCTAAAGATCCAAAAATATATAAGTTGATATCTTTGCTGAATAAATACAATTACCCGGGCCACTTAGGACAGTTCTAAACCACTCTGCTGCTTTCAGATACCCATTCAGTTATAACCCATAATGTTGCCAAGTTCTGCACAACAGCACTTAAAATCCGCTGGATGATGACTGGCTCAAAATGTTAGCAATCTAACCATCAGCTAATTGAAATATAAATTAGTGTTCCCCCCACTCCTTTAGACTTGTGCCCTGAATGCTCCTACTCCCCCCCCCCCCCCCCATCAATATTCCTCCTTCTCCATCCACTGCTAGTCCCTAAATAAGACCAGTATTTTTGTTTGTTTATTTTAATGTAACAAATTGGATGATTTTAGAAATTAAAAACAAGATATCTTCTCTCCATCTGCCTGACAATCAATTCTTCTTATTGTGGCATTTGGGTTCCAGATTGAGCCTGTGATGAATAGTCCTATGTGGCTGATCAGGTGACATTACCTTCCAACATCAGAGTAGGTTTCTGTACATTTGTACTAATCACTGAGGTGTTGACACTGATTCTGCTGAACTGTTTATCCTAAAGTGATGTTAATCTGGAATGCCATATAAAGATGTTGATATAATTACTGTAATAATTTTATGGATGGTAATTTTTTTGTTCTGTGCTAAGATTGATTATTAGTATTGCTCTCAGAGGTAGAATGGGAATGCCTTAAAATTAAATGTCAAGTTTTATGCTGCTTTCTATAGAACCAGTTATGAAGAAGACTTCATCTTCAAAATTAGAAGAACCTTTCTATGATGACGATGACGATGATGAATATAACCCATTTAAAGAAGAAGCTGTTGAGTATGTAAACCCTTTTGATGAGCCAGAGCCTGAACCTGAGATGGTAGCATCCATGAAAGACTTTCCTCCTCAACCAGCAAAAAGAAAAAATATTCAGCCTGTGGATATGAGCAAATACCTTTATGCAGACAAATCAAAAGCATCTGAAGAAGAGTTAGATGTGTAAGTACATGATTTTACTGCTTTGAAGCAAATTTTTGGTCCTTGGTTGGGATTTTAGTACAAAACCTCAGGGCATAATATTATCTAAGTCTAGTTCTATACAAAGCACAAGAATGAGTGCCGGGTGTGTTTAGTCTGATAGCATCCAAATATTTGATTATTTTTCTTGTTTTTTGCTTAGATATAAATGACTGCTTTTCATGCTCAAGAATGAATTCTTAAAGGAAGTATAACCTCCACAAGATCCTTGGATGGAAAAACTCACATTCTCATTTCAGCTGTCACACTTTCTGCAGCATTTTAGTTAGTGAGTTGCCAGCCATAAAATGCCCTGAAGAAGCATATAATGTTTTGAAGGCAGTTTGTATTGGGCAGGAATGAGAATAGCTTCAAAAACACTAGGAAACAACACCCCCCCCCCCTCCAAAAATCTTGAAAAGAAGAGGAAAATAATCTGATAGCGATATCCTAAGGAATCTTGGTACAGTAGAGTCTCACTTATCCAACATAAACGGACTGGCAGAATGTTGGATAAGCAAAAATGTTGGATAATAAGGAGGGATTAAGGCAGTGGTTCTCAACCTGGGGTCCCCAGATGTTTTTGGCCTACAACTCCCAGAAATCCCAGCCAGTTTACCAGCTGTTAGGATTTCTGGGTGATGAAGGCCAAAAACATCTGGGGACCCCAGGTTGAGAACCACTGGATTAAGGAAAAACCTATTAAATGTCAAATTACATTATGATTTTACAAATTAAGCACCAAAACTTCATGTTTTACAACAAATTGGTAGAAAAAGCAGTTCAATGCATGTTAAAATTATGTAGTAATTATTGTATTTATGAGTTTAGCACCAAAACATCACAATGTATTGAAACATCTGTGGATGTGGGAGGCAGACTTTATGGATAATACAGAACGTTGGATGAGCAAAGGTTGGATAAACAAGACTCTACTGTACTTGTTTTACAGATTCAAAGTGACTGGAGAACAAATCATTTATTTATCCTGACCTTATGAGATTACTGTTGTTGTGTGCCTTCAACTCATTTCCAACCTGTGGCTAATTAAAGTGAACTGGTATTAGAATATTCTCTGTCAGATTTGTGCAGGGAAGGGTTCGTATTGCCTTCTTCTGCAGCTCAAGTTAAGTGTAACTTGTGCAAAGTATCCAAGTAGATTTCCATGGCTGAGCAGGGATTCCAACCCCGATCTCCTAGAGTTCTATCTCCAACACTCAAGCAACTACATCATATTGGTTCTATATTATGAGATTAGTTGTTGTTGTGCATTCAAATTGTTTCCAACTTGTAGCAACCCTAAGGTGACCCTATCATGGAATTTTTCCTTTCCCTGCCTTTGAGGCTGAGATAGGTTGACTTGTTTAATGGTTTCAGTTGCTGCACAGGGATTTGAATCCTGGTCTCCAGTCATAGTCTGATGCTCAAACCACTATGCTGACACTGAGATTCTTTCAACTTGTAGACCACATGTATGACTGCATGCCTGCCAAGTTTCAGAAAATTTCACCAATCCACTGATTTTTGGGAAATTTTAAAGGTTTTTACCATAACATGTTTTTAAAAACCCCACAAGATGAGATTCTGGGAATTGAAGACCCAAGCGCACACCACAAGAGGGTAGGAGAATGGACACAGTCAAATAGGCCTTTGATTGGCTGAGAAAGAAAGTGAGAAACACACTCAGAGAGAAACCTCAACTTCCATCATGCCCTAGGAGGGAGCACAGAGGCTCCTTCAATACCTGTGTTGCATAAAGTGCTGCTGGGAAAGTTCCCATTTGCCTTAAGCAGGAAACGGGGGGAGGGAAAGGTTGGAGGAGGCTGCTGTGGAAGAAAGAACAGAAGGAACCACAGCTTACCAGATTTGCAAGGCTGCCCTGCCCACACGCCATCTCCACCTTATGTGGAGTTCCACTCAGCCCCATTAGCCAAAAAGATCCAACTGCTGTGTTCCCTAATGGCTAAGGCTTTGGCTGCCCCCACCAGGCTCATTTTTCTGCATTTGCCAACTGAATCCCTGGAATCTGGGACACCAAAACAATAATGTGCACACCCCAAATAACAATACCTTGAAACATGGATTTACCCTAAGCTGCCTGTTGTATCCCATTGTAGAAGTAGAATCAGTATTGCTGTTTGGTATTTTTCCATGAAGTCCTGAACAAATTTGTTTAGAGACCATATGATGCATAGTATCTTCTCCTTCTTAATTCCCCTGCTAAAATTTCCAGTTGTGTGTCTTAAATGGGCAAGGAGCAGAGAGTGATATATCTTTTTCCACCATGATTCAGGTGGGTTATAGGCTCCTTTTATGAGGTTTATTTTCTGTTTTAGTGTGCTATTATTGGATACACCACTAATCTTCTGCTTTGTTCGAATTTTTCTAACCAATATAATGCATTATATCCAGTATTTTCTGCTTTCCATTGAGTTCAGTGGGAATTTAATCTTATACTGCTTTTAAGCCACTGGCTTGGGAACAGTCTTAGAGCCTGAGAGAATCTAGTATTTGATCCACATTTTTCAGGCAGCATGACATAAATGTTATATAAATTGGAAGCTTTCCTCTTATTTCTCATAAGGCATCTATTGAGTTTAGGACCTCACCTATGAGGTATTATTCTGCATATATGGCTGCCAACATTTAAAATCTATTTAAGGTGAAGCATTTACCTCCACTATCCCTGCAGCTATATTAATGAAGACAGTTGAATCTATTAAAAATTTTACCCACAGAACTGGAAGATGATGGCCAATTCAGTTACAAATGGATTTTAGAATACTATTTTTAAATTGCAGCATTAGTATATTAATTCTTGAACCATAACCCTTCACATGCAAAATAAATAAATGTGGTATAAAATTGCAATAATATAAAGCAGTATAAAAGTAGTGCATAAAAACAATGCATTAGATGTAAGCAACAATACTCAAATTTAGATTGAATAAAATTAGATAAGAGCATTCCCAGAACAATAATCACAATATACATGAAAATTATGTCTGAATTTTCATTGTTGCCAGGGCAAAAAGATAAACCTAGCAATTTATGATAGAATCAATATCACGTAAGAGATAGTAAATATTTTCTAAATTATCAGAATGTAGATAAAACAGAATAGATCCTAATTTTTATTTATTTATTTACTCTATTTCTACCCTGACTTTCTCAACCCTGAAGGGGGACTCAAGGCGGCTTACGTATTGGCGATTATTCAATGTCTTAGAGCGACAAACGATTCTCACATTTAAATTAAAATTAAGATTAAACATTAAAATGAATACATATTAATTCCTAAGAATTTAGTCCTTAGTTTCATATGTAATTAACAACAAGGGAGCAGATAACATAGCAAATTCTCAATTTCTGAAGCCCCACAAATACAAAGCATTTAAAACCTCTCAGGGAGAAAGTAGAAAATATGGAGACTAAAAACTGAAAGTTTTTTAGGTTGGAAGTTAAGTAATATGTTTTCAGTGAACCTTCATGCACCCCAGTGATTCTCAACCTGTGGGTCCCCAGATGTTTTGGCCTTCAACTCCCAGAAATCCTAACAGCTGGCAAACTGGCTGGGATTCCTGGGAGTTGTAGGCCAAAACACCTGGGGACCCATACATTGAGAACCACTCCTCTAAAGATAAATAAGATCCAAGCAACACCTGTTTGATTAGGGTTGTTGTTGTTTTTTTCATGTCAGGAGTGATTTGAGAAACTGTAAGTCACTTGTGGTGTGAAAGAATTGACCGTCTGCAAGGACATTGCCCAGGGGACACCCAGATGTTTTGATATTTTACCATCCTTGTAGGAGGCTTCTCTCATGTCCCCATATGGGGAGCCGGAGCTGACAGAGGGAGCTCATCCGTGCTGTCCCCGGATTTGAACCTTTGCCCTGTTGGTCTTCAGTCCTGCCTTTGCACCACCGGGGGCTCCTGTTTGATTAGGTTAAATTCATGTATCTCTTTTACAAAATATGCTAAATTGAGAAAATAGATTAGATCAGTAAAAGAGGGTAAAAAAGGATAACACAGAAGCCTTGTAAGAGTCTTTTTCCTAACATTTCATCAGTAGATTTTCTATTTGAAGCTTTGAAAATGCATTTTTTTCTTAATATGCATTTTTTCATTTTATAAGTGTAAGGGGGGGGGGGCAGATTGCAGATGAAATGAAATACTAAGGAAATTCAGAGGAAATTATTGGTTTGCATATAAATTTTCAGTTTTTGAGATTTATAATGTTTGTATAGGAAGGCAAGAATCATTTCACTTAACCAAAATGCAAGTCATTAACATATCACAAGCATTTATTTCATATTTACTTTTATTTTGTCTATTCTTTACTAATCCAGTTGATTCTAATCTTTTCAATCTCTTTTCACAGAAGTCTCTCCATTTCTCTTGTCATTGTCATCATGCGTCCCTGGATCATCCTATTTTTCTTCCTGTATGTCTTTTTTAAGATGGGGTGACCGGCCTTGCTCACAGTATTCGAGATGAGGGAAGCCTGTGTGTTTATGAGATGGCACTCTCACCCTTTTCAGTACTGCTGTCCATTTCCGTCATTGTGCATGCACTCATTTTGCTTGTATAGCTGTCCATTGCTAATTGCTGAGCAGAAAAAACATTAAAGAAAGTTGAATGAAAAAAAAAGCTCTGAGGAATGCTTTTACTTACATTTCTTTTAATCGTAAAGGCACCAAGTCTGCTTTTTTGAACACATTAATGAAATAATTGATTTAAGTATTATCCAGAACCTTAACTCCCCTCTTTTGGATTTGGTAATGACACCTTCCAAGTTAGGTGTTCTGGATTGGAGCCCTTCACTGTTTCCTGAAATAATTTCCTACGCGTATATCCAAATTTCTAATTTTGCTGCTGCTGCGCACTTAATTCATACTATCATAGAGTTGGAAGAGACCCTAAGATCCATCCAGTCCAATCAAATATACCCTAAGAGATAGCCATCCAGCCTCTATTTAAATA